AATCAAAATTCACAGGTTTTATAATGTCACTGTCAACATCGGGCAACCACCTAGGCCATATTTTCTCGATATTGACACAGGTAGCGACCTTACATGGCTTCAATGTGATGCCCCTTGTTCCCGTTGCTCTCAGGTGAATGAATATTCTCACTCACTACCAATGCTCAGAATAACTTAGCAAATTAACGTTGTTAGAAATATTTCAAATAAGACTAGCTTGGGGGTTAGACTCATCTTAGCAAATAGATACATGTTTAATGTTAATTTGTTTTATTACAATATCCTGCTAATATTAGTCTTAAATATTGATGCTTGTTTTCAGACACCCCATCCACTTTATAGGCCCAGCAATGATTTAGTGCCATGCAGGCACGCCCTTTGTGCATCCTTGCACCACACAGATAACTACGACTGTGAAGTTCCACATCAATGTGACTATGAAGTTGAGTATGCAGATCATTACTCATCCCTTGGTGTACTTCTCCATGATGTCTACACTCTCAACTTTACAAATGGAGTCCAACTTAAAGTTCGTATGGCACTTGGGTTAGTATGATATCTCAAACCATTTTTACTTCCTTAGTTTATGCTTTAAATTTAGTAAAGAATCAGAACTATCCACAACAAAAACATTATTTGGCTTACTTTAGACTATAGAAATAGCATTTGATCAAGGAAACCCTTCATATGCATGATGATTGTACCACATGTTGTTGGGATGGAAAAATTCTTTGGTGTATCTCATACACTTTTTTTTTTTTTTTTATTCCTTTTGCAGATGCGGATATGATCAGATTTTTCCAGATCCTTCTCATCACCCGTTAGATGGAATGCTTGGCCTTGGCAGGGGAAAAACTAGCTTGACATCCCAGCTGAATAGTCAGGGTTTGGTGCGAAATGTGGTTGGACACTGTTTGAGTGCACAGGGAGGAGGTTATATCTTCTTTGGAGAAGTTTATGATTCTTCTAGACTAACTTGGACTCCAATGTCATCCAGAGATTAGTAAGTAGATCTCCATAAGTCATATCCTCGTGTTACATTTTCTACATGTATAGTCATGATTTCAAATTTTTTCTAAAAACTGAGATCTCATTTCTGTCACCTGTCTCAGCAAACACTACTCAGCAGCAGGGGCAGCTGGACTCCTTTTTGGAGGGAAGAAGACTGGGGTTGGAAATCTTCATGCTGTTTTTGACACTGGGAGTTCATACACCTACTTCAACTCTATTGCTTACCAAGCTGTAATATCTTTGGTCAGTCCTAAACATTCACTAACAATCCTTCTATTTCAAGCATTTTAAAATGCACAAGGCTTTTACTAAGATCATGTCATGTCAATTTCTTCATGCAAGATTTGAATTGTCTGAAGAAGTACAAAATAGAAATAAATTATTCTTAATTATACACCAAAATATTGATATGTAACTTAACACGGATCTTTTTCGTTTAATTTCCACATGTAGCTGAGGAAGGAATCAGGTGGAAAGCCCCTAAAGGAAGCACATGGTGATCAAACACTCCCTCTCTGTTGGCATGGTAAAAGACCTTTCAAAAGCATATATGAAGTGAGAAAATACTTCAAGCCAATCACGCTTAGTTTCAGCAGCAATGGAAGAAGTAAAGCTCAGTTTGAAATCCCTCCCGAAGGATATCTAATAATATCTGTGAGTTCCTCCCAGTTCATTCCTTCTAGATTAACCTTTTTAAAGTAACAGAGTCATTTCATGTATGAAAATGCTAATAATTTTTTCTACCAGAACATGGGAAATGTTTGCTTGGGCATTCTAAACGGATCTGAAGTAGGGATGGGTGATCTGAACCTAATAGGAGGTAGGAATGTTGTTATTATTTATTTTTCTTCTGTGCTGGTTCTAGATGATGGATATTATCACTTGTTAGTTCTACTGTTCTTAGCCTGTTAGCAGTTACTAAAACTCTTATATAGAATGTTTGATTTTACATTTCATATGAGATTTTCACATTTACCAATATACTAATAGTTATAACCTTTCACCTCCTGATATGATTTTTCTCTCCATAACTTGTTTCCAAAAACGCTTAATGAACTCTGCATTATAAATTCCCTGGCCCTGTTTATGCAGACATATCCATGCTAGACAAAGTGATGGTATTTGACAACGACAAGCAGTTGATTGGTTGGACACCGGCAGATTGTGATCGGGTTGCAAAATCCAGAGATGTCAGCATTTGAACACACAAGATACCTCCTCCACCCAATTCACACCTCTATCATAATATCAAATAGTAGCTATTCTCCTACTCTATACAACAAAGTGATTGTATGATACGAGACACTCAGATGTACGTGATATAGGATCTAGCCTGGTTCTTAATGTTTATAGTGTATATACCGGACTGGTTACATGTACTGAGTAACCACTCATATAAAATTAGTTTGATTGCACTTCTTCAAGGATTTAATTTTGAGTTGGGAAGACAAAGAGAGGAGTCAAAATGAGTGATCAGGTTGTATTAACAGAAAATATGAATTTAGATAGAATTTAGAGTTGGTAAATTTGTCCAGTAGTTACTAATTCCGTCAAAAAAAAAAACATGTAACAAAATTTACTTGAGTCTCACCTCGTATCCAACCTCATGATTTGTTAAGATAACATAGGTGAATTTTTACGTTTTAAATATTATTTATTTTAGAATTTTTATTTATTATTGTTTTAACTTTAAAATAAGTCTCAAAAAATTAAAGAAGGAAAATTTATATAAACTATATCATGAACCCAAATAAAATCAGTCCATGTACTCAACTCGTTAATGTTATACATACTTAATATGCACAGAAATTTACCAAGGGTTTGAAATCCTATTTATAAAATGTTTGAGCTTTTATTGAATAAAGTTATGTAAAAAGTACATAAGTTACAATATTATTCCACAACTAAAATTAAGAATAACAAATAATCTACAAAATTAATGATCAGATAAATGTTAAACGAGTTATCCGATAAAATCCCTTAAAAAAGTTAAAATTTATAGTTTAGCTGCAAATATTAGGTTCATTTCTTGATTCTGTAACTAATAGTAGATTTCGTACAATTATATATCATCGACCCATTTTGTGTTGTCGACATTTTCATATGCATTCAAATTTGATTTTATCAACATCAAATTATATACAACTTATGTGCTGGATAACTCCATAAACATGATTAACTTATTTTTAATATAATTGGCAGGTTTTTTTGCGTTTTGACTTTTTCTTCAGTTTCTTTTCTTTTAGCATCGTTTTTATTCCCCCTTAAACTCATTTACTTCAAACGTCCTTCTCGTCTTTTTCATATTCTGATTTTTATGTTATCATCTTTTTATTTTTTTCTTCTCTCACGCTCTGATCTTTTCCATGTCTTGATTTTTTCTCTCATTTTGAATCTTCATGCCCTCATTTTCTTTGTGTCTTGCTTCTTTTATCATGTTTTCTCTTTTTGTGTTATTTTCTCAATCTGTCTATTATGACATTGATGTGAATATATGTGTTAAAGTAGAGTCATATTTAAGAGGAAAATCTTGTCTTGACTAGAATTCCGGTAATTTTTTTTTTCTCTTTTTTTAGGGTTTTAAAACTCATATGCATCCTTAAGATTTAATGTTAGATCAAATGTCAAATATTTTCTTAGGTAAAAATTTCCTCATTTTTTAAGGTTTACATTTCGATTTTACTAAAATTATGAAATTTTTGTAATGTTTCAAATGCCAATACATGTTCGCATGCATGAAAATGATAATATATTGGTAAGGGTAATACATCTTTGATTTGTTTCATATTTCACATAACAATATATATATATAATTCAGTATCAATCAACATATCTCTTATAAAAAATGAAACTTTAGAAGATCAAATGGTGGTTATTATATAATCACTCAACTCCGTACAAAATTAATTTTCAATTTGAATCCAAAATCATTTTAATTGATTCTAATATTATTCTCAATGAATAGTTATGAATATATATATATATATATATATATATATATATATATATATATATATATATATCTTTCACTTATAGTGGCTTAGAATTTGACATATATATTACTTAATTGGTGAGTATGATATATATGTTTTGGTATATTATTTAAAATACTAAGAAGTGTTGGTATCAAAAGAGAGTGACAAAAAATGATAAAAACTTAAAACTGAACATTATATCCTTAAAAGGCTATATAAGTTTTAATTGAAGCATTCATGAATAAATATATATTTACTATTTTCTAAGTGAAATATTTTTAACCTCGGTCTCTTAATCTATATCAGTTTCTTAATAATTTTAAAGAAAACAATTTTCTATATCATTATATTTTGTAATAACAATAAACAAAAAATTTATATAAAATAATTTTTTATATTCTACGACTTATATTTACATATGATCATTTATACGTAATTATATTTACAGTAACAACCAAAAATAAATAAAAAATTCTAATTATATATATAAAAAAAGTAAGCACATCAATAAAAAATATAATCTATAAAATAAATAATTTATAAATAAATATTTAAAAACTTTTAAATGAAATATTAATTTTATTTATAATCAAATGTAAGTGATAATGATATACAACAAGTTGCTCTACTGAATATAACTGGAAGTTATAATTATCATATCCTTTGAATTGAAAGTAGAAGATGTATATTACAAACATATGAAAAAATGGTAGGGCAATACGTAACTATCATGGCCCACTGAATGAACACTCCAGATCATCCTGCAGAACCTAACTCCTACTTTCATTCACTTTTTTTGTTTGGTTTTTCTTTAAACCTATTCCTAATATCCCATTTCTGCTCACAGGATAAGAATGGTTACTACCAGTGCACCACTGTTGGGTTCACACGCTGAGCCTGCCCCACATGTAGTAGTTAGGTGAGATGCAATTGCATACCAATGCTGACTTTATGTACAAAAAAATAATGAAGATATTTTCTGGTAGGGGTCCCATAAAACGTTTGGTTTTCACATCAATAAGGCTTCTGCAGGTACATCAGCATGTCCTGCAGAGGCGAGAGCTGCTGCCCCATCTGGAACTCGACGCTCCCAAAAGGGTCATCCACCGAAAGGTTGTTGTTGTCAAAGTAATTGTATTCAAAATCAAACGCGTTTTCTAGCTGAAGCTCTAGATCATTCCATTTGGGGTCGCTCTGCACCTCCCTCTCGTATGTGACATCGGGGGAAACCACCTGCTCTGAACAGCTCGAGTCAGTCTGCAACCTAGGCGTTGAATCTGAACTGTCCATGTAAAATTGCCCATTCCCAAGTTTGTGAATCTCCGGCTTCGTCTCCTTCTCCTGCTCCAAATTATTAACCACCCCAGTCTCCATTTTTGGTGTCATCGTGTTGTGTTTCTCAATCTTCCCTTTCTTGTTGTATATTCGACACAACACCCAATCGTCAAGCTGCATAATAACACCAAAATCAGACACTTTTAAAACAAACCAAATCAAAAGGAATAAAAAAACTTCAGTGCTTCTTCTACATTTTCCTAATCATAATTAAAGGTTTGCTTTTTATAGTCTATATAATCACTGGAAATTATCTAATTAAGAAAATGCTTAGGCAACCTAATCTAAATTTCAGTGAACATGGAATTTGGGAAACTGGGACATACCCTCAAGTTGTTATTTTTCTTGGAGGCTGATCGATCAACATTTGCGAGGCGATATTCGTGCATAATCCAATTGGTTTTCTCTCCTTTGGGGGCTTTCCCCGCGTAAAAAACCAGAGCTTTCTTGATCCCAAGTGCTTTCGGTTTTCCGATCGGTTTATCGGCGCCGGTGGCTTTCCAATACCCACTTCTGGCGGCGCGATTCGGCCGTGAACCGTTGGGGTATTTCCGGTCCCGAGGAGAAAAGAAGTACCATTCTTTCTCGCCGTAAAATCCCATTTCTGCAAGCACAATCCCATCATCAATGAATTGAATCATACAAATTCACACTAAACGAAACCCATCAGAAATTAAACGGACCTGGAAGCTGCCATGGATCAAACTTGTACAAATCGATCTCTTTGACGATAGGAACAGCAATCGGTTGACCAGCGCATTTCCTACAGAGATAGTGGTTCACCAATTCATCATCCGTGGGGTGAAACCTGAACCCAGGTGGCAACTCTAATTCACCCTTCATTCGCGTTTCTTCCTCTCTCTTGTCTATTGTTTGTCTTCAACGGAAAAATCTTCTGATTCGCAAGCTTTTTGCTGCTGTTGTTGTAGTTGATACAATCTCTGCTTTTCTCTGCTCTGCTTAGTTCTTGCTGCGTGACTTGAAACATAGGAGAAGACACACTGGTCGGATCTTATAGTGGGAAGGGGTAGAATGAAACAAGGTGAATTTCAACACGTGGATGCTGAGGTGGAGGCCAAATCTACTTGAGAAATTTAATAAATAATAAATAAAATAATTAATTTGCGTGACAAGTTTCGTTCCACCTAGCCAGGACTCATCGGAGCAACACGTGGCAGTGGATAAGTGGGCTTGTCGCACGTGAGACTGTTGTGTTTTATTTGTGATTCTGTCATTGCTTACGCATACATCTTGGGCAGTACGGCTTATTTTCAAAACGTCCAATCCATGGTCATTAGCTACGGTTGACTCTTTTAAACGACATTTTGGGTTTAGTCCAAATGTGTCGTGTCCTTGCTCTATCCAATTGTGGTGTGCCACGTGTTAAAATTGTGAATCTTAACCCCTCGATGTGTTTGTGCACGACCTTACTCTTCAGTATTTTCTGAGGTGTAATACAAATTTTAAATCCGTCTCTTTGAAATCAATTTAAACAGGTATTTTTATTATTTGAAATGTTAAATTGAACATAAAATATTCTAAAGATGGTAAAAACGCATATTTATTAAAGATTATGAATAGCTACACATTATTTCATCCATCATAAAATGCGTTCATTTTTATAAATTTAAAATTTTTTATATTTTGATTTCTCATAATTTTACATCATATTAATTTGTTGCTTTTCATTTCATAGGTAAACTTATTATTATTGTAAAAAAAATATATGGCAGAATCATTTTTATTATCATAAATATTATGCCAAATTATAGTTCATCGATGCATACGTATGCAGAGCAACGTCATCACCAACCTGTGATTTGGCCTTTAATTAATCCATATGTAACTCACCAACAACGGTGTCCTTCTTTTCATGTTCTTGTCCTCCAAGATGTATTGAACATACTACGCCAACCACAAGAATAGTCTACACACGTATTTTTCTTTTCCTAGTATTTCTGTTACTGTCATGTAGTTGATCATATCAACGGACAGAATGAATTTTCAGTTCATGAATCAGGACTCTTCTCATGCAAAACAAAGTTATATATACTATGTGTGAACATGACTTGTGATGCGAAAAATCAACATTGTGTTGTGCTTCCAATTTCATTTTCACACACCTTCTCACCAATAATAATATTTTTATTATTTATTATTACAAATTTAAGATCATATTATTTTTTAATATTATTAGTTTCATAAAAAAACAAAATATTAGTATAATAACACAAAAAGAATTGTTTGAAAATATAAAGTATCTTAACAAAAATACATTTTTTTTCTTGATATATTTTCGGCAATATCAAATGACAAATAATAAAAACTGGAGTGAATAATAGAAAAAAAATAGTCTTCCTAACTTGATAATTTAAAATTATTAAAGTCCAACTTTTTTATCCACTGCCTTTTTAATCGATCAAATTCAATATGTTCTTCATTGGGGGAATTAAAAAACATTACTTAACAAGTAAACAAAAATACGGCGCCGCACACAAATTATTCTTCAAATTAGATTCATAATAAGAACAATATTAACTTAAAAATAATGTGCCACTAACATGAAGCACGAGCATGGAGAAGACCAAGTAGTTGGTGTGACTGATTTTTTGGTGAGAAATATTCTTCATTTTAGATAATGAAACCATTCCATTACTACCAACCCAAAGAAATACGATCTCTTTAAGATATATGGTTTATGTCGGAAAGGTATGAAGTTGGACTAATGAAGGATACAATTTCTTAAACACAAAGTTTTAAGTGAGTGGCAAATAGAAAAATAAAAGTTATTAAAAGAGAAGATTTTATTAAACATAGATGTTTCAATGAATATATATACTTTCTCTTAATAATAATAATATTATTAATAATAACATGCTTAAAATAAAGAGAAATTTATCAAAAAGTTTTGCATGGCTTGGTCATTCCTTTAGTTTTGTTGGCTGCTACTTTTTTTTTTTTCCTATACACACTTTGTTTAATTATGGGTAGGGGTGTCAATATGGGTTCTAACCTGTGAGCCGGGTTGGGTTCGATTTTTTTATTTCTACCGATTATGGGTTAAAAATGAACCCGGCTCACTTAACCCACGGGTTAAACGGGTTCGAGTCGGGTTATGGTGGGTTGGCCGCAACCCACCATTAATTTTAATTTTTAAAAATAATTATAATAACATACTAACCTTAATTAATCATTTATTTTAAATTTTTAAAATAATTATAATACTTTAGTAACTCTAATTGATGTTATCATGTTTTACCTCCACCCTACATTATTGGTCGTCACAAGTCAAACCCTCACTTAAACTTGTTATCGATTGTTCGCTACACCATTACGTTTGTCACTGCACTTTAGTCACTTGTCTTATTATCTCATCCACCGCACCACTACACCATATTCATTGTATTGCTTTCAAAGATAAGAATTTGTTTCATAACCTAAACCACTGTATTGCTTTCAAAGGTACAAATTTGTTTCATAACCAAAAATCTGAAACAATACATCAAAGCGTTAATGTAAATTGTATTGGTGATGATTTTATTATTAATGAAAAATTCAATGAGTCAATTTCAGTTAATAACGAAGATACTGATGTTGAGAAAGAAAGGAAGAAAACATAAGTTTTTACATCCGAAGTTTTTATATAATTTAAAAAATTAAAAAAATATGGGTTAGTGAGCCAACCCACCTAACCCACCAACCCGTGGTGGGTTGAGCTAGGGTTGTAAAATTTACTGCTCACCAAAAAGTGAGCAGGTTGAACTCATCTATTTTCAGCTCAACCCGTGGTGAGCCAACCCGTGTGAGCCGGGTTGACTCACTTTGACACCCCTAATTATGGGTAAGTGGGAGAATTATATATGCTGGCTTTTTGGACATGGTTCACTTCATAATAAAACTAAATGTTCATATAGAAAAGTAGAAGGTAGAATGAATGATGGTGTGACCTAAGAGAAGATTAAATTAGAAAGTGGATTAAAAAATATAGGACGTGAAATCAAAGTTGAATCCAAGAGACGTAATGCATGACTCATGTGGAAGATACCTGGATGTTTCCTTTCCAACAGATGCATTAGGGCAGAGATTGAGCTTATTATTAGGTAAACTTTGTTTAATCCTCAATTCATATCATTGTCCCTTTTTTTATTTTCACTTTTCCCAAGTTGCATCGCACCCTTTTGAAAATCCTTTGACTTCTACCTTTTTTTGTTCCTTTTCTTCAAACCCCAAACAGTATTAGATAGATGATATAATTGTTTTTCAATAAAATTAAAATGTTACTGTGACAATATCATTACATTTTAATTATAAAATATTGGAATAAAGTTTCGATTCTAATTCAATCCACCAACATCTAAATTTTGTTTTTTCCTAGATTTGGACTTGGTCTCAAGGACATGAACGATGATCATATATATCATATCATAGTGGTATTTCATTTATGGTCTTTGTAATTGGATATTTTGTCTTGTGGCACTAGTAGGTTTTACTTGGGCAATAAGTTTATGGTGGTTTTGGTAAAAGCCTGTGAAGGAAAATGGTCCCAATCAATTAAAAACCAATTGATCGAGAGTAAAAGGAACATAAAAAAAATAAAAAATCAAAAGAAACATCTTACTGGGATGGATGCAGCGATTTGAAGCTGGTCCAAGTGAAATGAACATCCTGGTTTTCATTATTTTAATGTGACACCCCCACATACACCTTCTGGGAACCTTCTTCATCGTTCTTGCTAGTTGCCACCTTTGACTTCAGCTTCGTGGCTCTCAACTGTAACCTAAAGAATCGACCAACTTGAACATCTGTCGTCTTCAAACCTTTTGTGGTCGCCTTGTCCTTTGGGCTTTGCTTTGGTCTCTTCACTGTTAGGCTTTGTTTGGTTGGAGTGATTTGAGAGAGTGGAATTGAAAGAGTTCAAAAAGAGGGATTTGAAGAAAAATGGAGATGATTAAAAAGTGAAAGGAAAGTTTATGGGAAATTGTGAATGATTTGATTGATATGAGATATAAAAATTATAATTTTATGTTGATTATTTAAGAAAATTACCATTTTACCCTTTGTATAAAATAAGGTTCAAATGATTATAAATATAAATTTTTAATTAATTATCCATATTTTAATATTGATTATATATTTAAAAGAAAAAACAAAATTAAAAGTGTTTGTAATTGGAAACAAATTTAAAAAATTAACTTTTTTTAGATAGTTATTAAAAATTATATAAATAAACAATTACAAAATTATGTACATTGCATATCCATATTCAAATAATGTTGATATATTAAATAAATTATTTGACTAATAATTAAATAATTATAAAATATAAAATAATAATTAATATTGATCTGATAATAACAAATAATTATGAAAACTAATAATATAATTGTACATTATTATTTAAAACAAATATAAAATATAGTGAAAATAGAATAATAATTAAATGAAACATTACTAAAATTATAAACCTATGCACACTAATGCTCTTCAAACAAATAATTATAATGTTATTCATCTTTTGCGATCAAGTCCTCCAGGTTCGGATCATTCAATCACTTCCACTCAAGAACATGAACAACTGGGAGAGACGAAGATGTCCCATATATCTGACTCCGAATGTTGAAATGTTGATGATCGTCTCATCACATTAACTTGAGATAAAATAACTACAATATAATTTTCTACTTTAAGAATTAATAATATAATTAAACTCAAAATTGAAAATACTCTTATACATTTTGAACTCTTTTGGATAAATTTTGTTTCCCTAATTTTTGATAAAGTTAATTTTAATATTTAAAATTATTTAACATTTTGAATTCGAAAGGTTTTCTCTAATAGCAAATTAAAAAACATAATATTCAAAAAAATATTTTAAGATTCGAGTCTCGGGTTGCATTTCGCTCGAGCGACTATATCTCGCTCGAGCGAAAAACGATCCTCATCGATCATAATTTGAAATGATCGATCATAATTGGAGGATATAATAGC